AAAGTGTATTGAGAAGATCAATATAACAACATAATCAACACTGAAAATGACAATCATACCGCGACCGAGAATGACGTCAGAGCCCCCCAAAGTTGGGTGTGGTACAAAACTCGAGCTTTCAGAATCATGGACAATAGGCTGAGTACATAAACAATCGCTCACGTTCAATAACATGTCATTAGTAGCGTGTGTGACCACCAAATGCCTCAATACACGCAAAAACTCCTCGACGCACAGAAAAAGTCAGTCGTCTGATGAGGTGACGTGGGATTTGACGCCATTCTTCTTTGAGGGCCAAGATCAGTTCTTGCCGGTTGGCTGGAGAGTGTAGTCGTTGTCGAACACGACGATCCATCAAGTCCCAGAGGTGTTCTATGGGCGACATGTCGGGTGAGCGTGCAGGCCACGGCAGGACGTTGACGTTGTTGGCTGCGAGGAAGTTAGTGACAATTTTGGCTGTATGGGCTCTAGCGTTGTCATGCTGATAAATGACAACACGTGGCTGCTGTTGGAGAAATATGGTAGGACAACTGGACGAAGAATGTTATCCATGTAACGCTGAGCTGTCAAGTTTCCGTCAACGATGACCAGCGGTGTCCTCTCCTGCCAACAGATCCCTCCCCACACCATGACACTCCCTCCACCATATGGTACGACCTCCTGCACGCAACACGCCGCCGTTCGTTCCCCCCTTCGGCGGTAAACACGTTGTCTTCCATCAGCCCTAAACATACAGAATCGACTTTCGTCAGTAAAGACAACCCTCTGTCAGTCACGTCGTTGCCAACGTCGTACAGTCCGGGCCCATCTCAATCGCAGACGACGATGTTGCGCTGTCAATAGCTGTCCTCTGTATGGTCTAAAAGCCCTGATTCCATGAGCCCTGAGTCTCCTGGCCACTGTCTGTCGACTAACCCTGTGACCTAAGGCATTTGTCGCCGATGACGTCACTGTCAGGAAGCGATTTCGGAGGTACAAGGTACGCAAGTACCGGTCATCATGGGCCATGGTCACCCTGGGTCTGCCTGTTCTTGGCCTGTCAGCGGTCCGCCCTGTCTGTCTGTAACGTTGCATCAAGTTGGTAACGGCAACACAGGAGCAACCGAAGGTTCGTGCAATATGGGCGTGGGTGGCTCCCATCTCTACCATACCCAAGGCTCGTTCACGTTGTTCGACTGTGAGTCGTGGCATTTCTTTTGTGTGTTTTTTATCACTGTGGATGTCTGACTTGCCGTTGCAATCGTTTTATACCCTTACCCGCACGTGTATTTGCAGTTGTCCGTGGTGCACGTGTTTTTTTTTTTTCGCGTGTTATCTCGCAAACATGTAACAGACGATTAATGTTTTCTGCATACACTATTGTTGTATTTAGGTAATGTGTTTTAGATAGACTTCATCGGAATTTTTTTTATACTTTGTCTGAAATTTATATTTTCAGTTGGTAAAGTTTCTTTTGGACGTCAGTTTATATAGCCCTAATGATGTCCACGCTCCCATTCACATTAAGTATTGGCAACACGTTTCTGAACGCCTAGACACTATACGAATCGTAAGTGTATTCTTGCAGCGTTCAGGAAAGTCGATGTAGTTTTGTTCAAAATAACAATGCTATGCTTTGTACGTAAATGAGCCATTCTCGACCATTCTGGCCCTAGGTCAAATCAAATTTATTAACTGGATACAGATCTATATGATTCCTAATAACCTATTGAAAATAAATATAATTGTTTATCTCGAAGTGTGCAATGTGAGTAGCGTACAATCTCATTAAATTCAGATCTTAGTTCTCGGTACCGCTAAACTAAGATCTGATCTTAATGAGGTTGGAGTTGTATAGAAAGGGGATACTTTGTTTGTTTGTTTGTTAAAGCCGCACTCAGCAATATAAGTCGAGTCTTGACCAGACAATCCAGTGATATATATCATGAGAATCGATATACGCAATTGGGATACGATGACATGCATCAACCAAGTCAGCGAGCCTGACCACCCGATGCCGTTAGTCGCCTCTTACGACAAGCATAGTCACCTTTTATGGCAAGCATGGGTTGCTGAAGACCAATTCTAACCCGGAACCTTCACAGGATACTTTAACAGAAAATGTTTTGTGGATATAGTATTACGTTTGCTCCGTTTGGATCGGCTGTTGTTAGTCGATGCAATTCTTTCGTCACAATGTTCAGTGGAGTCTAACGTTGATCCCTTGTGACGTTCCAAAGTCGTCTGTCCTCCACATTTTGTAGCCGTGTGACGTCAGCCTTATGATGTCACAATGGTAGACGACTACAAAATGTCGTGAAGGAAAATACAGCTTCATTAAGTTTTACTTATATGAGGTTGGCACTGGGTTCGAATCCAGCAGGATTTGCTAAAACCGTCTTGAAATAAACCTTCATTCACACACTTTAATATATTGTATGTTTATCATTAGATTGGAAAAAATAAATACGCTGGTTATTACGCAATTGGATTCATGGAGTATCTCTCTGGTTTGCAACATGGTCCTTAATTGTTCGTATGTATTTCGATACGTTTCTGTCGGAACTATTTGACATGCCATGTGACATACAAACACCCGAGCTTGTAACAACAACTGCACGTGCATCCGGGTCACCACAGCATCTGAAACTTTCAACCCTCCGTCGAGAAGAAAAAAGGTGATTTGTTTACTGGGTCTTGGGCATGCAAACAAAAGCATGCACGTACTTAGGGAGTGAGTAAGTATGGTAAACGTCATTATCACAAATGAGATGCTCAGGTTCTGGGGCGAATGTTTTACCTATACCCAGTCGGCCCCACCACTGCGTCGCAGCTGTATAAATGCCTTCAGGGTATACAACTCACAGTGTGCAGTTCAGAGTTCATCCTCGGTTATCCCGTGCATTTTATCGTTACATGTCCTAATTAGTGCCATGAATAAAACCGATTGGCCCGAGCAAATACATCCTCTTAAAAAGTACAGTGGTGCACTCAGAAATATTTTTTAGCCGGTGGCTAAAGTTGTGGGATTTCTTTTCCATCCAAAGTATGTCTGGTATATATAACGCTACACACACCGTCAGTTATTGGCGCGTATTTGCCAATCGCTGCATGGAACCATTCTCACATTTGGACTCTGACAGCGTGCATACACATATGGATTCTGGTTGCGACCTATTCCGTTTGGTCTGTTTCTAACAGATGCTTGTGGTGGGTAAAACTGTTCTGAAACTTTGCACAATGAGGGGTAGTAGGTCCTTCTATTTCCAGATATTCCTGTTTGAAATATATATAAATATAAATCTACAAATATGATTGTGGACCCTATAGGATTTAAAGAAAACTATGCAATTAAGGGACAGTAGTGCATGTCATATATGGAACACGTCTCTTACTTTGGAGTGGTGCTACACCAGGCTGCATGTTCTTGGCACCATATGTATGAAGAGCCTTATGGCTCCAACAGAAAAGTACACCCGATTTATCCACTTTATTCTGTCACATAATTCGAACCCAGTGCCGTAGCTACAGCGTGTGGATGAAGGTTTATTTCAAGACGATTTTAGCAAAGTTCCTGCTATATCACGGCGGAAATGGGCTTCACACATTGGATTCGAACCCAGTGCCGTAGCCAGCGGGGGGCTTGATTTTTTTTTATAGGAAACAGTTTTATTTGAATCAAGTTGGGGACAAGTGATACTTGTACAAATATCCCCCCCTCGTCAAAAAATGTTAACTACGGCCTTGGAACCCGTGACGAGCAAACGCTTTAACATCTTGACTATCATATATATTATCTGATTTGAATATGCAAGTACGAATTAAATCGTTTTTACATACATACGGGTGTGTGTGTGTGTGTGTGTGTGTGTTTCTCCCTCTTCCCCCCCCCCCCCCCCCCCCCAGATTTTTATTTTATTGCATTCTATCAATCACGGACGTATATATACATATACGTCTTTGTATCAATCAACGCACTGATGTCTGAAAACACACAATGTCGTTTAGAGTGAATGCATGCATGTACCTGCGTTTTGCAGGAAACGCGTCCTCTTTGGAGAACTTTTCACCGTCAGACATATAGTTGTTTGGCTCCCGAAATATGCTAAACCAGACATGTTTGAATTGTTATACATGCATGTATTAAATTAAGACCCTTATATGGGGAACCTGTAGATTTTCTCAATGAATGGTGAAACAAATTTTGAGAACGAACTGATTTATGCCTCTGCAATCTCTTTTAGTACCAATATTAACAATACATGAACATGCGCTTTTACACGAATATTTCAGACCAATATTGAATTTCAATGGTACAATTTAATATGGCGTTTTTGAACTCGCTTATTTGTCCTTTGATGACGTGCTGCGTATAAACATGTCTTCGTGTCCAGGGTTCTTTATACTCCAGTGGCAGTAAATGAAATCTCAACTACAGGAAAAGAAATTTGCTCACGTGACACAATAGTACTTTTGATAGAAGCAATTTTAAGACCATGGGAGCTATTAACATAATGTGGAGAAGTTAAAAATAGCCATTAGTCACAGAAATAACTTTTTTCGTGCATCTGTCCATCATATTGATTAGAGACACGCCAGTATATAACGTTGTTTGAAACATAAAGAATCTTTAAATTATTTACTTTATTTGTTTGAATAACAGAATTTTGAAGAGATGTGAACATCATAGAACATGTATGAACATTGAGACACACGACACTCCAAAGTCTAATTTAAAACACAGAATAAGCAATAATATTTGCATATAATTTTTGTATGATAGGAATATATGATTGTGAATAGTATTTTAATGACTGTCATTTGGACATGTGAAATTTGATTGTATCGTGTCCGTGACAAATATCATGTCAAAAGACAAACATTTATGGAAACTCTTTACAGCGATTTTGAGAGTCGCTAGATCTTCAGACAGTAGCACATTCCCAACATTGATTTCATGGCCCTGCAAAGAGTCGAGGCGAGTCCCTCCCTCTCGTATGTATTCCTACGCAACAGCTTCCGGTTCAATATGGCGACGAGTGTATTTTCTGGTGGTGACTCAACCATAATCTTTGAAGATAAGTTGTAACGCCAAGTAATTCATTTTCATTGATATGCTTATGTGCAGTTGTGATGATCAAAGACGCTCATCAATTCATTGGAGGTTCAACAGGGATGAAGGATCTCCAGAAAACACTTTATTTCCGTCGGATGGGAACTCAACGATGAGCATGCATGCCACTGAAAACCCTGTTTGCGTCAGTTGTTTGTGTTCTTATTGTGTGTTGACATTGCGATGGCAATCAGTTGGTCATGATTTAAACACTTTATCGTTTCCTCCTCTTTACATTCACTTGATCAGTCCTAACAATGGATGAACAGGCTCTGAATGAGCTGTTAGAATGTTCTGTCTGCCTGGAAAGATTGGATCACACAAGTAAAGTTCTTCCCTGTCAACACACTTTTTGTAGAAGGTGTCTTGAAGAGATAGTGATCACAAAAAATGAACTTCGGTGTCCAGAGTGCAGGACTATTGTCACAATCAAAGTTGAAGATCTTCCGCCAAATATCTTGCTAATTCGCCTCTTGGAGGGTATAAAAACACAAGGACAGTTACATGGACAGTCTACAAATACTGAAATTCCCACAAGCAGGACTGACAGCCCTGGTGTCACAAACACCAACTCACAGCCACGACAACAAAGACAGGTGCTTTATTAATCACAAATATCATAAGTGTAACGTTGTTAAAAAAAAGAGTGTCTCAAACAATGAGATATTTTGCTACATATCATATTTTAATTGAAAGTCAAACTTTGCTCCACATTGTGGTTCCCATTGTTAGTGCAGGTCGTGACTTACTCATCCGTGCCTTGTAGGAAACAGTGTTGTGATTCTTTTGAAAATCATCAACTGCCTTGTTAATAGACATCATAAAATATAATCAGTCATTTCTTATCACTATTCACTTTACTTCCTCAAGTTCATTCTAATATGAAAAATCGACTGCCAGTTTGCTTGAATCTAGTTCCTCTTTGAAATAACTTCCCAAATTCAAATGACGTAATAACTCTTTAACTTTAATACTAATGTTATAGAGATGATGTACATGTTACTTTTTTCTGTTTTGATGTCTATGAACAATGTTACTGCATTCATGTGAAAAGTGTAATCTCTGTCATTTTATTTGAAGGTAAAGTTTTTTCTCATATCTATCATGTCTATCGGCCAATACATGTAAAAAAGTGATTCCATCTTGTATTCATACCAGAATACACCTGGAACATGTAGAATAGGTCCCAGCATTATTTGTATATTTTTAGCATGTTAACATATGTTAAGAGGCAACCAACTTGATCCAGTAACTTCAAATGACTGATGACATGACACATTTGTCAATCTTTCAGGCTCCTTCTTTGCCCAGATTTGATTATTAACAGGCTGCCATGTTGCTGGAATATTGTAGTGTAAAACAACATACAAAACAAAAACTAATTCTTCTGAGTCTGCCTCTGTAGTTTTTATGAAAATGCTATCCTCTGAACAAAGTATTTAGGTTAATTACCTATTTCACAACTATGTGCTATTAGAATAATAACTGAGATACCAATAAATACACCAATTAATCTGTACACATGTTTCATATATGTCATGTATGTAGAACAAAGTGAATATATTGACACCTTAAACCCCTCTAATAAATGTTGAGGAACAACCCTTGTTTTACTTCCAGCTGAATTTGTCAGCACATATTAATAATAATATAAACCAAGAAAGTAGATTGATCATGTTGATGTCATGGCAATCAGTGTTCATTCAAGTTGACATAAAGAAGGGTCCTTCAGGTCCACTTTTGAGAAAAAAGTGGGATCTTTTACAAAAAGTTGGTGATCCTTGTTCTCAGCTTAGTATGGCAGGGTGCTTGGACAGGAGACTTTATGATATATCTGTAACTGAATTTGATTTTTGTGTTTTACATGCTTAAAGCACCTTTAAGAGTCAGTCCGAGCTTGTGTTTCACATGAAATTTGGCTTGCTGAAAGAAGAAAAAAACTCTGAAAAAAACCCATTGTTCCCATGGTTACATCTGTTTAGTAAAATGGCAACTTATAATTAACTATTAACTGTAATAAATGAAATAATACCTAAAAAACGAAAAACAAATTTGGCTTGCTGATCTACAAATGCATGAACATGATGAACGTGGAATCTGTCTTTGACTGTCCCATCACAGTCACAGTGGTTTTCCATACTTTGTTTCAGTAAAAGTTAAACATGTTTGACGCTTGACACTACCGCTGTTGTTGATTTCCCGACATGCGAATAGAAAGCTTTTCAGTTTCACATGTTGACATAGCCAATCATAAAATTGTTTGTACCTGACAACAGCCAATCAGGCTGTGTCAGATACTGCAACAAAGCCAATTACCATGCTTACAGCATTATTTAATTACCTGTACCATAATATGAGAGTGTAATGAAGATGTGGCACACTTCCATATAAACACAAGCAAGGCACGTTGACGAATGTTAAAGTAATTAAGTAATCCATGTTGACATATTTATATTAAATTCTTTCGTATTGGAAACCATGTGCTCTACTGACAGATTTCGTTAATCCTTCTTGCACAATGAACAATAAATGATATCGGACCTGGAGTATTCTTGTTAAGAAAAAAAAGAAAAGAATTGCATCCTTCATTGCCATATGACACTTCCTTAAAAAGACCACTAGTATGTATGAAAATATTGTTTTGCAGTTTTAATTTCATGATTGAAAGCAGCTTTTGATTTAATGCTGCCACTGTTACTTTCCTCATTGTGAATGGAAACAATTTCCATTCCAATTTCCCCCTGGTACTATGGAAACCGAAACCAAAACAAAATGCAAGAGACAGTATGCAAATTTAATGAACATATAAACACTCTTTTGAATCTCATTGTTACTTAGTGGGGCACGGGTGGCCCAGTAGTCTATGGCTGCACAATTCGCTGTGCAGAGTTGCATCACCTGGGCACGCCAGAAACCTATCAAATCCAAATTCACCCTGATTATGTTTCTAGGTTTGTCACCACCATACCTGTACTTGTGGGTTTCACCAAAGTGGTAAATGTCTAAGATCTGCATTATATCAGGCTTTCCTCCCACAGTAAGCTTACACGCCGCGATATAACTGGAATACTGTTAAAAGCGGCGTTAAAATTAAACCCGTTCACTTGGGTTTCACCGAAGTGGTAAATGTCTGAGACCTACATCACTTTGGGCTTTCCTCCCACAGTAAGCTTACACGCCGCGATATAACTGGAATACTGTTAAAAGCGGCGTTAAAATTAAACCCGTTCACTTAGGTTTGTCAGCACCATACCCGTGCTCGTGGGTTTCACCGAAGTGGTAAATGTCTGAGACCTACATCACTTTGGGCTTTCCTGACACATTAAGCTGACACGCCGCAATATAACAGGAATACTGTTAAAAGCGGCGTTAAACCAAACTCACTCACTTACTACTTGAGGGCAGTATGTGACAATTACTTTGAAATACTTACATTGTACTCCTTTCATTAACATGATTAACCCAGTAGACTTTACTGGAGTTTTTCACATATACATTTAAAGTGTTTTTCAGTAAGTTACAGGATGTTAAAATAAGCATCAACAAAATTCAAATTTCAATGTAACTTATCAACATCAATCATATAAATATAAAAAATCATCAAATAGAAACAAAATACGAAGACATTTATGTGTTGAACATTTTGCATATTTTTATCCTTCTATATAATGATCACAGATCGATCACCACTGATGATTAGTCTGTCAAGATGTTTTTCAAATCCTATACATGTGATGTGAACTGTGGTGAATTGGGTACAGTGTCATTTGTTCATGTTGGAGTTGATTTGAAAGTAGTGTAGGTCGTACACACAAGACTGTACCTGGTTACGGACTGGTCATTCCTTAAAGGGGTGGGTGGGTCAGAGGAAATCAGGGGAGGGGCACCAAAAATATGACAGTCTCAAGGGGAGGGTCATTAAAAATAATATACATATTTTGGGAGGGTCATGAAAAAATGGACATTTTGTTATAAAATAAAAAGTGTCTGCATTTTGTCTTTTGGGGGAGGGTCATGACAAAATGTACAAGGTCATGGGGCGGGTCATCCAGAAATATAACAAACATTAGGGGAGGGTCATTACTTTGTGTACATTAGTGCATTAAAAAACCCTGACCCACCGCCTCCAGTACTACATGACTGCTTAGGGAGCTGCTGCTGAAATCTCATTATCGACCTAATTTTTTTATGGTTGTCATGATTAATGCTATTTGTAAAGATTTACCACGGTAAATGATTTTCTTTTTCTTTCAATGCTCACTTGGACACCATTGACAAAGCAACAGAATATGATAATCAATGTCATTGGTATTGCGACCTTTATAACCACCCTGCCACAATGTTACAAAATTGTACAATTATTTGGTTGTCACAAGAATCATAAATCATTTAGTTCTTTCCTCCCTAACTGATATAGTTTAGATCCTCCAGCCCCTTTGGCAACTGCGGTGGCTCAAAGCCCACAGCTCCATTTTTCTCGATTATACTAAATCTTTACAAATTTGTTGAGAAGGCAAATCTAGGGAAACCCCTGCAGCATATTGTGTGGAGGTTTATCTTGGGCAAAGCTGTACAACACAGGAAGTGTTTTAATGAGGCCCTCAGAGCACACATATATTCTCACATATTTTGACAGGCTCATCATCCTTGTGTACTTTAATTATCTGATATTTTTTTGACTTCCTTATCCAGTTAGATAATGATACAGCACCGGACTATTTTTTGTTTGTCATGCAGATGATGGTTTCATCAGTGAAATTAGGCTGGCTGGAGTACGCTGGCTGGTGGTGATATGTACACATGGCTCATGAGTATCAGATGTCACATGGTGCCTTTCCTTGAAAGCTGATACACTCCTCTCACACATTTGTTGATGGCTTTCATATCCATCTTGTATTTTCCTAATGTATGTTTAGTCAGAAATTTGGAAGGCAGTGTAAAGATGCAGAAATGCTGACCTGTCAGATTTTGGAAGTTTTTAGAAACAAAGTCTCAAACTCATGAATTTTCCAAGACACAACTGTAGTTATCACAGCTTTCATACATCTCCTGGAAATATTTATTCCATTCTTTGATACAATCAGTACTAAATGCAACAGCTGTTTCCCTAACCAGTACTTGAGATCTGGTTGGCATTCCTCATGTAGGTTAGGAATGTGACTGACATATTTCACATGTCTTCCTATAGTTTCATGTTTTGTCAATGTTTGAGCATTCCCATGATTCCAGGTACTGATTTATTCCTGAAAATGACCAATATTCCCCCAATAACCCCCCAATATTCCCCCCACCACCACCACCATCATGCTTGCTCATATGTTTTGGCCTTGGCATGGCATCTTTGCAACGGTTGATAGATAACAGAAATTCTTCCTTTTTTTCCAGAATGCCCCGTGTGCAAAAGCACTGTACAATTACGAAGCGAAGGAGAGTGGGTGGGTATCTGTTTCCTATCTACAGAGCTATACCTGTCCTCAGCTGCATGTCTCTCTCATATTCTGCTTTAGGATAGTGGCTGGTTTGTGTTTGTGTTTGTGTGCAGCTTGAACTGTACTTTATCTGTACAATCTCACAAGGTATGCTGGTGTTTGTGTGATGTAGACAAAAGTTGAAAAGGGAAAATTGGTACAGAACATGCATAAGGAAATGGTGTTTTGCTCAGCCTAACATTATTTTGCCACTGAATGAAGATTGTTTGTTTCAAAATTAAATGCGGTAGAACCAATTTCTTCCAGTTAATTCTAATATCATGATTAATTACTATGTTTAGTAAACATGGTAAAGTGGGTGTATGGTAAACATGGTAAAGTGGGTTTGTAGTAAACATGGTAAAGTGGTTCTATGGTAAACATGGTAAAGTGGGTATATGGTAAACATGTTCAAGTGGGTATATGGTAAACATGGTTAAGTGGGTTTGTAGTAACCATGGTAAAGTGGTTCTATGGTAAACATTGTTAAGTGGGTATATTGTAAACATGGTTAAGTGGGTTTGTAGTAAACATAGTAAAGTGGTTCTATCGTAAACATGGTTAAGTGGGTTTGTAGTAAACATGGTAAAGTGGGTATATGGTTAAGGGGTTCTTTGGGAAACATGGTAAAGTGGGTATATGGTAAAGTGGGTATAAAATGAACATGGTAAAGTGGTTCTATGGTAAACATGGTTAAGTGAAATTGTAGTAAACATGATAAAGTGGGTATATGGTAAACATGGTAAAGTGGGTGTATGGTTAAGTGGTTCTATGGTAAAGATGGTAAAGTTGGCATATGGTAAACATGATTATGTGGGTACATTTTAAAGTTGGCATATGGTAAACTTGGTAAAGTGGGTTTGTAGTAAACATGGTAAAGTGGGTGTATGGTTACTGGTTCTATGGTATACATGGTAAAGTGGATATAGAATGAAGAATGGTTAAGTGGGATAAAGGGAAACATGGTAAAGTTGGTTTGTGGTAAACATGGAACGGTAGGTATTTAGTAAACATGGTAAAGTGAGAATATGGTAAACATGGTAAAGTGGGAATATGGTAAACATGGTAAAGTGGGAATATGGTAAAGTGGGTATATGATAAACATGGTAAAGTGGGTATATGATAAACATGGTAAAGTGAGTATATATTTAAGTGGGTTTATGGTAAAATGGGTATATGGTAAAGTGGGTATAAGGTAAACAGTAAAGTGGGTATATGTTAAAGTGGGTTTATGGTTAACATGGTAAAGTGGGTATATGGTAAAGTGGGTATAAGGTAAACAGTAAAGTGGGTATATGGTAAACATGATAAAATGGGTTTATGGTTAACATGGTAAACTGGTAATATAGTAAACAGTAAAGTGGGTATAATGTAAACATGGTAAAGTGGGTATATGGTAAAGATGGTAAGGTGGATATATAGTAACCAGGTTAAGTGGGTATATGGTAAACATGGAAAGGTAGGTATTTAGTAAACATGGTACAGATGGTATATGGTACACATGGTTAAGTGGGTATATGGTAAACATGGTAAAGTGGATATATGGTAAACATGGTAAAGTGGGTATATAGTAAACATGGTAAAGTGGGTGTATGGTAAACATGGTAAGGTGGATATATAGTAACCATGATAAAGTGGGTATATGGTAAACATGGAATGGTAGGTATTTAGTAAACATGGTAAAGTCGGTACATGTTTAACATGGTAAAGTGGGTATATGGTTATGTGGGCAAGTGGTAAATATGGTAAATTTGGTGTATGCTAAACATGGTAAAGTGGGTATGTGGTAAACATAACATGGGTATAACATTGGCATTCCAAACTTGATTACTTACAGACCGCCGTCATATAGGTGGACTATTGCAGAGTGCAGCCTTTAACAATAAACAAACAAGCCATGTTGGTTTCACAATTCATTCATGTTGGTATCACATATCAACCATGTTAGTATCACATATCATCCATGTTACTATCACATATCAACCATGTTAGTATTACATAATGATATCAACCATGTTTATATCACAATTCTTCCATGTTGATATCACATATCATCCATGTTACTATCACATATCAACCATGTTAGTCTTACATAATGATATCAACCATGTTTATATCACAATTCTTCCATGTTGATATCACATATCAACCATGTTAGTATCACATATTAACCATGTTCACAAATGCATAGATCGATGTTCCTGATTTCAATCACTGGATTTTCTGGTCCAGTCTTCATTATGAAGAGACCGCCGTCATATAGCTGGAATATTGCTGAGTACGGAGTTAAACAACAACAAACATACGAAACAAAGTATCACATAATATCACATTGATCATGCTTGTATCGAATATTATCCATATTAGTATGACCATGATGACATGTTATCAATAATAATATATCATGTTAGTATCAAATATCTATATCATGTATATAAATCACATTAACATAACATATCCATATTAATCATGTTAGTATCACATATTATCCATATTATAGTATCATATTAAGCATGTTAGTATATTATCTACTAATGTATGTTGCTATCACTTATCCATGTGAATCATGTTGCTGTCATATATCCCTCATATAATATTGTATTCTGCTCCATCTAGGGATCTGTCCTTCAAGAAGAACGATGTAGTGATACTACGGAAGCAGATAGATGACAACTGGTTCCATGGAGAGTTGAATGGACAGCATGGGTTCTTCCCAGTCAACTATGTGCAGGTACTGTGTCATATTGCTGTGTGATAACACCATGAACACTGTGTCATATTGCTGTGTGATAACACCATGAACACTGTCACATTGCTGTATGATAACATGAACACTGTCATATTGCTGTGTGATAACACCATGAACATGTTGTCATATTGCTGTGTGATAACACCATGAACACTGTCATATTGCTGTGTGATAACACCATGAACACTGTGTCATATTGCTGTGTGATAACACCATGAACACTGTCATATTGCTGTATGATAACAACATGAACATTGTGTCATATTGCTGTGTGATAACAACATGAACATTGTGTCATATTGCTGTGTGATACCACAATGAACACTGTATCATATTGCCTTGTGATAACATCATGAACACTGTGCCATATTGCTGTGTGATAACACCATGAACAGCGTCATATTGCTTTGTGATACCACAGTGAACACTGTGTCATATTGCCTTGTGAAAACAACATGAACATTGAGTCATATTGCTGCTATAACACCATGAACACTGTTATATTGCGGTGTGATAACACCATGAACAGTGTCATATTGCTGTGTGATACCACAATGAACACTGTGTCATATTGCTGTATGATAACACCATGAACAGTGTCATATTGCTGTGTGATACCACAATGAACACTGTCATATTGCCTTATGATAACAACATGAACATTGTGTCATATTGCTGTGTGATAACACCTTGAACACTGTGCCATATTGCTGTGTGATAACACCATGAACATTGTGTCATATTGCTCTGTGATAACATGAACAGCATCATATTGCTGTGTGATAACACTTTGAACACTCTTATTGCTGTGTGATAACAACGTGAACACTGTGTCCTATTAATCTTATTACACTGTTCATGAAATCCATAGATTTAGCAGATTAAGCTGCTGCTCTGGCCATTCCTGTTTATTTCAGTTGTAATGACGTTCAGCAGTCTGCCCCACAACCACACCATGTAGATACTTCCACTTGTTTCTCATGGCCTGGCACACAACATTCAGTAACATATCTCGGTGTTTTTACAAGGAAAGAATGAGCAGCTTCCTCATTATTTAGTGACCTTTCATATTTATGATGAAGTGTGAGCAAATCCATTTTTAGCTCATCTTTTATACATTGTTTAGGTGAGCTTATGTTATACATGTTATACTCTGTTGTCCATAAAATAAGCCAAAGATTCCAGGTATTATAGTTTTAGTGGAATCATTATATTTTGAGCCACATTCCTCTTATATGATTCACATGATGGACAGATAAAGTGAAATATGTTACTAATGTTAAAAAATATCGCTTGTAATTTAGACGAGTTTTACAATGTTCACATTCTACATGGCTTGTGGCGTTCAAATAACCCTAGTGACAGAGATATACATCATGTACATAGCACTAGGCAATTGCTGCTGTTGATCTGCAGGCTACAGCTGGTCGCTGTGTCTCTACCAGTAGTAGCCACTCAACCTCAATGTTTCTGGCAATGGCCAAGGTGTACTCGACTCTGTTTTCTCGGCTACATGTGCTGCATGATGCTACTATTTCTGGCAGTCACATAACTTCCACTTCCATCTCAGTCATGTCAGCAATGACCAAGAAGAACTCTTACAATGATTGGGACTCTGCTTCTAAATTCAATGTCAAAAGCAATGTTAAGATTATACCAATTACATGTTTTTATGTTTAATTTATTTCTTAGACTGGCTGCTTTTAAGTTGGGGCAGCAGGCCAGTGAAACGAAAAATAAAAAATGTGGGACCTTAGGTCCAGGCTGTATTTATATATTATTTAATTAGATGATGGTCAGGTCCAGAATGGTTATAACATTGGATCATGCGAGTTTTTTATTTCTAGATTAGATACTTCGATTGTCTTTACGACCAAATACAAATATCTTTTTTTTGTCTATAGGGCAGTTTTATCATAGAGATCAAGACGATGGAGCCTTGTTGACTGCTATGCTATGATAGCGGTCATATTACCATGGTTACAGAGGGCTAACATTAGAAGTACGGGGACTTGTCTATGCCTTGTTGAACAAATCAGAAGTTGTTATTTTTCAATAGTTGGTCAGATGGAGGCAACATTACCAAGTCTTGTTTACAGCGCCATAAGTTCACACATTAGTGGTAACTCTAGTAATATTATTGTCATTATTTATATCTTATAAATCCTATTTATTATCATAATTAAAGGCATATGTTCAGTCCTGAAGTAGCAATATGGGTGAACAAGTAGAACCTTAGTCAACTATATTTATGTCTTTTGGGGAAAGTGACACTTTGCACCAGCCATATAATAAAATCCAGAATTCCTATATAGGTCAAGGTCACACTGAACGTCTCTACGTGATGATAAACAGGAAGTTCTTTACCTATTGGTGTTTTTATGTTTAATTTGTTCATAATGTTATTAGATTTATGAGTTTATTATACAGTAAGCTATGTTTATGACGAACAAGCTAACAACGAACTGACGGATATAAGAAACTTATTTTTTGGTCCCGTCCATTTGTGTATATGCTGTATATATACTTTTAACAAACCCAGGTTATAAAAGACCATAATTAGTGGTCCCTTTGAGTTCATTATAACCGTAGTTTACTGTTACTTATTATCCTTTGCTGTATGTATAGGTCTAATATTGTACACTATATTTCTGCCTGTGTGCAGTTCTTCAATAGTACACAGTTTTCTCATGGAACAAGAATTGATCCCAACGGTCCCTTCACGTTTTATTTGCATGTAGTGTTAACGTAGGTAATGGGGAAAAACATGCTTTTATTAATCCTTAATCCATGAGTCTGCAGTCTATATGAATATGTAGGGACTGTGTGTCAGTTGACATCAGATGCTTGCAACTCTTGTTTAAAACAGCTACAGATGGCAGGGGTGACTTGGGCAAACGGTGAAGTGAGTTCATGATGAGTTGTCTCCTCTTTGCAGGTGCTGGTGGCGTTGCCCCAGTTGCCACAGTGCCAAGCATTGTACGACTTTGATCTCAAGGACGAGAAGGAAAAGGATTGTCTGTCCTTTCAAAAGGTGAGACTGTTTATTTGTTTTTTGTTTGTTTGTTGTTTAACACCGCACTAAGCAATAATCCAGCTATATGATAGCGGTCTGTAAATAATTGAATCTGGACCAGACAATCCAGTGATTGACATCATGAACATCAGTCCGTGCAATTGGGATACTATGACATGCATCATCCAAGTCAGCGAGCCTGACCACCCTATCCTGTTAGTCTCCTCTTACGACAAGCATAGTCACCTTTTACTGCAAGCATGGGTTGCTGAAGACCTATTCTACCCTGGATCTTCACGGGTCGAGACAGTTGTACATTATATATGTCACTACACTGTTCATTGCTTGTTACTGATGATCTATGTCTGTGTGTCATGATTCATTGCCTTATTCCTCTAAACACTGGGGTGATTCCAGGGTAGTATTGGTCCCAGCTGCGTATGCTGGTTGTAAGGGAAAACATAGCAGATCAGACAGTCAGACTCAGTGACATGACTGACCATCTTCCCGAGGCAAGAGAGGTAACTGACTATAAAAGTCCAGTTTCCACCCTTGCCAAACTAGGCTGGTATTATGGAGTTACATTTTGGCTGGACTAACGAGTCTATGCATAGTCCAATCAAAATCTCGCAACGAAATCGAAATCCGGTCAGTAAACTGTCTTGCAGATTTCGGTCGATTGCAGGATTTGCAAAGCATGTGCACCGCCAACTCGTTGTCAACAGAAATTTTCCAAACCTTTTCATGTTTTTAATCAGTGTGCTCGCGTGATTTGATGCTCTTTGTGATGTAAGACCCGTTTTATCACAATATAGATCTTGATTATCGATCAGATCGTTTTGACTGGGCGCCGCCATTTTGTTTGAAACAAACGCAAGAGATGGAATCTGATTGGTCCATAGGAGAGGCTCAGAAGGGACGTAACTCATAATAACCACTGGTGGCGCTATGATCGAGCTCAGGAATTCCAGCCTAGTTCGGCAAGGGTGGAAACTGGACTTTTGAAGTCAGTTAACTCTCTTGCCTCTGGAGGATGTGACTGACTTGCGTGACAATGACCCTGATGACTTGGATTGTTGCTCATTTTGTGTCTTTTTCCAGTTTTAATGTCTTGGAATATATGAAACCTGACTCTTGATTACCGTCTAAGATTATCTTGGTAGCAGACCTATATGTTGTAACTTGCAGGATGAAACTCTGACAGTAATACGAAGAGTGGATGAAAATTGGATTGAAGGCAGGAAAGGGGATAAAATTGGTATATTCCCTGTGACGTTTGTTAGGGTAGGTAACACATCCTCATCACGAGTTGCATGATGTAGCAGTTTTTTATTATCACTTTTTGATGTAGCTTGTTTGAATTGTTGAAACTACTCATTGTGTGTGTTGGAGTGGGGCTGTAATTATTAACACAATGTTTGATACCTCCTTGTTCAAGGCAACACAATGGACCATGATGACTCTCGCCATGTACATATGTTACAGGCAATGTGTAAACTGAGATTTTCACTTCACTACATTTCACTTCATTTCACTAAATATTTCAGTCATTTTACAAGTATTTTTCCATCAGATTGTCTAAAAGTCATTAAGTTCAAAAGGGCTGAATGCATCACAATACCGTATTCGACGTAATAAGGGCCCGCTCTAATAAGTGCCCACGGCGATATTTGCTAATATATTGGCTAGTGAACAATCCCAATTAGCACCCCTTCTGATTGATCAATGTACACAAGACTTATTTGTTTGTGTATAATATGCGCTCATGTGTTATATGCACCCTTAATTATGGGAAATTAAATTCTGGAAAATATATCTGACGTGTATGATACGCACATACTTTTCTTTTGTATCATTTCAGGCTGTCAGCATAAACTACGAAATTTACAATCTTTCAACTCTGTTTTTTTTTCACCAAAATTATGTTCTAATAAGAGCCCCCTATTTCTAATTATGACAGCGCCCTGGGCACTTATTACGTCGAATACGGTATATTAATTATGCTAGGATGAGAAGCCAAAAAATTAAAAACAAATACCATGATATACATTGACTTTTGTTTTCTTCTCATCATATTATTTTCAGTCACTGGGTGAAGAAATAGGGCATAACAATGTTTGCAGTTTGTTATCATAATACAATAAATGGACAAATAATTGTAAAATTACTGAAATATTTTTTTTGTATATTGCCTAAGGGAAAGTTTTGATCAATTTACACATTCCTGATTTTCCATTGACTGTAACATATATATACCAGTAACAAGAACATATATGACATGAAAATAATTCCTACATAGAGGTTTCTATGTGATCTCTTGTTGTCCACTGTGCACAGATTGAACTGTCATGCTTTATAATGACATGTGGTATGCCAATCTGTCGCCCACATAAGGCACTGAGGCCAAGAATCATTGACGTGAGACATCTTGTCAATCATTTATTGTTCTGCAACATTCTTTAGCTATAGTGTCACTGCATTGTTACCCCACTGAGAGATATAATACCACTTTAAGACATCAGCAGCTGAAAATCACTGCACTTCAGAAATTGAGAGAAATGCCATGAGGCACATATTTTTATCAATTTGTCAAAATACATACTGACTACCATAGAGACGAATGATGCTTTCTAAAAATAAATGTGTCATCTGTATGTGGTTAACATATTAAAAACAACTTCAACACTATTAACTAAGTTTGTATGCAGTAATGTTCGCGCAATATGTTATTTCCCTTGTCTGTTGTATTGTGTTAATTCTGTGCAACTGTTATCACATGAGCCTAATATTACCCAGCATGTGACCCCCTTCTATGTTTGTTTGGACTGTTACTTTAATTCAGTGAGACATGAAAACAACCTGTCCAGGAAAAGTTAAATACACTTGCTACAGACCAGCGGACAGACTTAGGCGTTTTGGGTTCGAATCTTGGTTCGCCCCGATTATGTTTCTAGGTTTGTCAGCACCATACCAGTGCTTGTGGGTTTCACCGAATTGGTAAACGTCTGAGACCTGCATCACTTCGGGCATTCCTCCCACATTAAGCTGACACGCCGTGATATAACTGGAATACTGTCCAAAGGGGCGTAAAACCCTCATTCTCTCCATAAGCGTTTGTTCGTTTAATCCACACTGATTTATGCAACTGTTTGCGTTGGATAGCAATGGTCTTTCCCTTTATGGTAATATACGACAAATCTTATCAGGCTTATTGCATCCTTACTGTCAGGATGCGTATTGTGAGGGACTCTTCCATCCCTAGCTGCAGCTAGAAGCTGATTAGTTTTCCCCTATATTTACACAGTTAAATGATGCTGCTAAAAGTCTGCTCAACTCCAAGCCAAGTGTGAGTATCCTACAGGCCAGTAATAGCACCCAGTCAGGGGGACAACGTAACTCTGATAGCTCCGAACGAACAACATCAGCGTCAGAGACACATCGGGTCACCTCACCTTCAGTCACCTCCGTCAACCCAGCCCTGTTGGCTTCTCACCCCACATCTCAACCCAAACGACATTCATTCACCCTAGCACCCCAGAAATCCTCATCCCCACCTACCCAGCATCAGCGGCGCTCACTCGAACTGGGCAGCAGCAGCAGCAGCAGCTCGGGGGCATTCAATATTCCCAGCACATCAGCTGGGTCTGTGAGTGGAACATCCACGCCGCCCCTCACTGCTGCCGCTACGGCCGCCGCTGCTGCTGTCGTCACCACAACTAGCTCCTCTACCTCAACTCAGAAATCGGCACCACAAATTGCACAGGTAAGGAAGGTTTATGACCATGGATAGAAATTACACTACATGGTGGGTTCAGGTTGTTAAGTCTTACTTCCGGGGGGGCATGGGTGGCCCAGTCGTCTAAGGCGCCACGATTCGCTGTGCAGAGTTGCGTCCCCTGGACACGCCAGAAACCTATGATTGTGGGTTTGAATCCCAGTTCACCCGATTATGTTTCTAGGTTTGTCAGCGCCATACCCATGCTCTTGGATTTCACCGAAGTGGTAAACGTCTGAGACCTGCATCACTTCAGGCTTTCCTCCCACATTAAGCTGACACGCCGTGATATAACTGGAATAATGTTAAAAGCGGCGTTAAACCAAACTCACTCACTCACTCACTTACTTTCGGAGACTTTCGGCTGCTATGAAGAAACTGAAGTCATCTTGCTCAGAGGCCACACTGTTGAACTTTTAATAGAGCAATACATGTGGTTCGAATTTCCCGACCCTTATTTGTAAGTCGACCAAAGAAAAAGCCTACATGAAAATATCAAACGGCATAATTTTACAATAGTTATTCAGCTGAATTGTATGAAAACAACAAAAACAGACATGAATATCTTTTTTTTTGTGTCTACCAACTCCATTCTCAAATACGCAATGATCTGTTCAGAACCAAAACATTATTTACAAAAATGTTGAAATCAGTTTGGTGTATTATGGAATGATTGGAATATCCTTATCAGAAGTACATGTATATTTGTAGAAAATCACTTTGCAAAAAGTTTACTTAAATTACAAAACAAAGAGTACCATGTAACCTTTATTTTCAACTTCATAAACCTCTCTGTCAGTCTACATTATGGGAGATCTACAATCGTATTGCATGTTGTGATTGATTGATCGATCGGTTGTAAATCCGTAGCACCTTCACAACATGTTGCACAAGATAACCATTAAAGTCAGTCATTTAACATGATTATGTATCAGATTACTTACCTTTGCTATTGTTGCCTTACGACTGCATGAGTAGACATGCGTTACTATGTCACAGTAGAGTTATCTCCCTTCAATCAAACATCACTTCAACAGTACTCACCTGTCTAGCATGTAGAGATTATGCATGAGATTATTAATATTTGTTAAAATGGAATAGTATTTAAAATTTGTCCCTAACATTTTTTACCAGATAACTTTTAACTTTATGACTCGGTGATATTCTTCTGATTATGTTCATATCAAACATCAAATTTCACGTCAAGGACAACGATCTGAAAGAAAGGTTACGCATTTTCAGGCAGGAACAGACCCATCTAGTGGATCTTCAACCACAACCACCGGCAGTGCAGGAGGAGACAACTCTGTTATGCCAAGTGGCCTCACACCAGTGTAAGTACTTTTATGACCTCCAAGGCTCCTACACACAACCAAATTTTTTCCCATAGCCTTCTAACATGTCTATAGTAATGGGTTTTTTGTTGTTGAAAAATAAGAGGAAAAAAGTGTTCAACAGCCATTTCAAGGACGTGTGCATAGCCTGGCTTAAAGCTGCAATACAATCTCAAAACATGGCTAGCTTCCAAGCTCCTTTTCCAAGGAGCACCAAGCGCAGTTCGGAATTAATTGTACTTACCTGAAAATATCTGTAGTCACATTCGACACAAGTAAATTGTTGTTGGTGTTAAGAGGTTTTTATTAATGTGTGGATGTAGAGTTAAGAACATCGAGATCTTACACAATGTCATCCGGGGTAGAAAAGGACTTGAGCAACCCATGCTTGCCGTAAAAAGCGGCTATGCTTGTCGTAAGAGTCAACTTGCGGGATCAGATGGTCAGATTCGCTGATGCATCTCATCATACCAAATTGCGTGGATCGATGCTCATGATGTCACTCACTGGATTGTCTGTCCAGACTTGATTATTTACAAACCGCCGTCATATAGCTGGAACATTGCTGAGTTAAACTGCAAACAATAAAAGGTATGTTGCGATGTTGCAGGTATGTCGCGACGTACAGCTACAAACCTCAGAAGGACGATGAGCTGGAACTGAGGAAGGGTGATGGGTACACCGTGTCGGAGAAATGCCAGGATGGCTGGTACAAAGGCCAGTGTCTCAAAACAGGGAGTACAGGAGTGTTCCCTGGAAACTATGTGCAGCTGTACAGGTAACGCAGCACGGGACTGCACCCCCGTGCAGTCTTGTCTTTCTTAGAGCATAGTCAAGGTAGACACAATTTTATGGATAACAACTTCTTTAATACTTTAAAAAGCGACGTTTTGGTATAGATCCTTATCCTTGTCAAGCAAGACCGAATGAGGGACTTAGTACAGAATATATATAGTAGGTGGAGGATTAACAGTAGAGGATTAAAAGTAACAATTGCATATATGAGTGGGATAACATAGGTAAGGTGTTGACAACAAGGGGATAATACTGTGACAACACGATGGACAGAGAACACATAGGTGGAAACCAATGGGACATGTTGCCAATTAAATAGGATAAGTGATTATTGCGTGATGAGTTCATAGTAGGCGGATGGGATGAAATAGCCTTGATCTCTGTTGATTGAAGGCTTGTGGCGGCAAATGTGGTTTGCATCTGTTAGTTTTCTTTTAGTGAAATCATGGAGGTTGTTGGAGAGAATTTGGACGTTGTCCCAGTTGATGTTGTGATCAGGACAGTTGTTGATATGGTCCGTGATGGCTGATTTACTGTCGGATTTAATGGTGGAGGTTTTGTGCTCTTTCATTCTGGTGTTGATTGGGCGGGATGTTTCACCTACGTAAGATTGTCCACAGTTGCAGTCAATTTTGTAAACTACACCTTTAGGCTCTTGGGGTTTGGTTGTGTTCTTAGCAGGGTCTTGAGGGAGTTGGAGCTGGTGAAGTGGGTGTCGATGTTGGCTTGCTGTTTGAGGCGGCGGTTGATGATGTGGGAGGCTTTTCCTATGAACGGGAGGGCGATGTGGAAGGGCGCTGATTCAGGTTTGAGGGGGGCAGGTCTGGGTCTGGGATGGAGTACAGAGGTGATGACTTTGTCAACGAGATTGGGTGGATAATTGTTGAGGTGGGTGAAGACTTGGCAGAGGTGTTCGATCTCAGGTTTGGATATGTTTAGAGCATAGTGACGGAAATGTGAAGAGGTTGTATCCTTGATTGTTCTGTAACACAAACACAATCAGCCAATATCAACACTTATTTATGCTACCATCTTATCAATGAGTGTCCAGCCAAAGCCTTAAAACATATCAGCCAAATTAGACGTTAGCATAAATCTTTGGCCCAGTCCATTTGTGAGGACAGTCCAGTTTACCGTCTTGTACGTTTACCACAAATTAGTCAAGCCTGTGTAAACCTTTGAGTTTCTGCGGCAACAAATATGACTTAGGCTGGAAATTCCAGTTGTGCTTGTTTAAGGAGCAGGTCTTGACAACTGTACAATATTTCTTCACCCTACTTTGCACATGGATATTTCTTGCGGTGAACTGGTGCCTTTTGATAGTTTGGGAATTTCAAATTTCCATGGCAACAAAATATATATGTATATAACTAGTTGACATATTCAGGACAAGTATTTACCATTGCGGGGGATATTGATGACTTTGTCCTGTTGTTGCTTTATGAAATCTTTGGGTTCGGTTGACATTTTCTCTTACCCATTATTTTTCCCATTTCCTTTCTAATCGATGCACACGTATCCTGGGACTTCTGTTCACTGGTGTATGGTTTGGTAGTTCAATGAACAATGTATGTGTTTCTCATGCTTTCTTAATAGTCAGTCTGGATACTTGCTGAACATATCTTGTATACAGGGATGAGAATCTTCCGCGGGTCCGCGAATTTCCACAAATTTGTTAAATTCTGATGAACCCCCTATAAACACCCCAACATTAAGGACCATACTCCACTGAAAAGACAGTTTAGCTGAAAAGGAAAATATCCACTCTCATCTCTGTGTATAAGATGAACCAGAATTCTACTTTAAAACCCACAAGATCTGTTTATTTGGAGATAATGTTTCTTACCAAAGAAATTTTGTTATATTTACAGTATAAAAATTAGAAGTCACAAGACTGTAGATTTAAAAAAATCAACACGTTTGGCAGCAAGCAAACAGGAACTCCTATTGTATTTGAATCTGTGGACCCCTAGACTTTCTTGCTTCATTTTGAGTTCGGTGACCAAGAATTATTCACCTTCATTCCTATTAACCCTTGTTTTACCTTCTTCTTTCCTACTCACTTAATCTTTCACCTTCCAGGCACCAGAGTGCGTTCAAGCCAGTCAGTCCCAATGTGTTGAACATTCGAGCCCGAGCTCCTCAGACAAACTCCCATTCTTCTGCATCCTCTGACTCTAACAACATCACCAATCTCGACCTAGGGCGTACCTCTACTTCAAGCCAGTCCTTTCAGTCTAGCTCGAGCCAGTCAGCACCCCCACCTCTCCTCCCCCGAGCACCAAAGACTTACACCGCCTCTTCACCCTCCAGCGGCAGCCATTCCTCCAGGGCATCCAAAGCAGCAATCACAGTTCCACCTCCCGGGTACAACTCCTCCAGTTCTTCCAAGTCCAGTTGCCACGTCTCCGCTTCCAGCCAAGGGCCTGCTCACTCCACCACAACGGTTCATCTACCCAAACGAGGTAGCCATTCCTCGTCTCCCAGCGGGGGGTGGAGCCCATCGAGCCTAGCTGCTATACAGCATTCCATGTCAGCATCGACCAACATCACGCCCCCCAACGTTGTGTTGGGAGCCACGGGGGAAAGCCATCACTCACACTCCAGTAAAGACAAGGTGAGGACATTTTGCTGTGAACTTGTATAATAATTGCATGGCTCCAGGCACAGTGCCTTATTCAATATGGGTTTGAGAAAATAGATGGGGCATGGGCCATGATGATGAGTGATCGTTGGAAAGATGTAACCACACTTTTAAAAGAAACTTTATCTTTATCTTGCATATGTATATAGACATGAGTACATATGAAATGTATAAAAAAAATTGAAAATATTTTTTAAAACATTCCTTACTGTTTATTATTATGCTAACATGTTTATGTTATTCGGCAACAATCATACCAGGGAGCCACGTCATGTCCTAGACTGGTTTACCTGACCTAGAGCGCTTGCTCTCCTTGCCTGCAACCTCTAGGACGCGAAGGGCAGGGTACCAGTCTTGCTCTATCTATGTCGCTATGGGGCGGTCGGGTAGCCTAGTGGTTAAAGCGTTCGCTCGTCGCGCCGATGACCCGGGTTCGATTCCCGACATGGGTACAATGTGTGAAGCCCATTTCTGGTGTCCCCCGCCGTGATATTGCTGGAATATTGCTTTAAGCGGCGTAAAACCATACTCACTCACTCAATCACTCTATGTCGCTATGTGGGAAACGTTGACTCATGTAGCGAGTTATTACTTTATTGGCATTTTTGGACATATGAATAATTAATGTATCGGCTACAGGAGTAAACATATTAACATTTGGGAGGTATGTCACATTGAGAAATATGGTTCAAGGTTAAAATTAACGCACTCTCAAGGTTCTGGGTTTCTGTTTTACCAATATCTGCATGTCTACATGTGTAGATCTACTTCATCATGAAATAATATTACAACAATGTAGCTATTAGTTTGAAAAGATTAATTATGAAACAATCTTAGTTCACCTTATCTGCTTATGAAGGAGTAAGCATATACTCCGAAACGTTGTGTTGCTCATACCGGTAATAAATAAGTTGATATCCATAAAGTTTCTTTCTTATGCTGATTTTCAAATTAAATTGTATATCCTGTTCTGTATGGCATTGTTTTATATGCAGGGATTAAGACTACTGTGTGTATTTTCTCCTAAATTTATCTGGAAATAGCAATCAGCTGTACACACATTTTCTCCCAGATCTACCTGTGATTCAGTTAAAAAATATACATCACTTCAATTAAGAATTTAAATGCAATGACCAGAAGAATTGTGTCTGAAACTACAGTAAATCTGGAAATTAATGCGTCTCCAAATTAATACGACTACTGACCCCTAGCCAAAACTGCAACTTAATATCAATGAACCAACACCATTTCACTGATTGGTATGCGGGGGAGGAGCTGGACACGAGTGGGTGGAATTCTTGATCCCAGCAGTGATAACTCGACGGATGCCCATTGTGTAATTGCTATTGTTTGAATGACATTGTTATATACTTGTTACACGCTGCTGCTCAATAAACCATGTTTGTGTTATTATTCAAGTTGGTATTTCCGCTATCCAAAGTGTGCAGTGAGGCCGTCTTATTGTTGATAGTCATTTTGGAGACATAAATGCGAAGTTAATTAATGCGAGCAAAGACCACCTGCAATTTTCGCATTTAATTCACGCTCGTGTTAATATCAAGATATACAGTATTATCATATCAGGAATAATATATTGTCATGTTTTTTTAGTTGCAGCTTTTACTATATATCATGTGTATATATATAAAATAATAGTAACCTCCTGTCCGTCTGTTTTCCATTTTTGGAGCAGAACTCCTACACTGTTGAATATTTCTTGTTGAAACTTGCTATGCAGATCAGTCTAGTGGTGAACTGGTACCTTTTGATGATTTGGGATATTAAAAAAGATACTGAACAACATTATCTTTTTCTTCACTAAACTGAAGGTATCCAATGACAATGAAAAAAGTGGGGTACAAGTAGGCAAACTCCATTTTCAGGGTGCACCAAAACGACAGTTAAACCCTACCCTCCAACAATTGGCCCTACAGTCCATACAAACCTGTCATTGTGTATTATAAACACGTTAGCCCTACCATCCGTATAAACCATTGCTGTGCATTATCAACAGTTAAACCCTACCCTCAGTATAAACCTGTTCTTGTGCGTTATCAAAAATAGAATGTGTCTGACTTTACAGAAGGAGAAGAAGGAGAAGCATGACAAGCATGACAAGCATGACAAGCACGACAAGCACGACAAGCACGACAAGCACGACAAAGATCTGAAGGATCACAAGGAACGGAAGGACAAGGAGAAGAAAAGTCTCGTTAAACGACTTGCCAGTAAAAGTAAAAAATCAAAATCCCCAGGCGATGATGGTGAAACCTCTGCACTGCTGGAAGGGTCTGTAACGCATGTCAGGTAATTGTTTTGGTCCTGGACAGAAATGTTGACAATTTTCGTACAGAGAAAGGCAGTGTTAGTATAGAGATTCCAGGGTAGAATATCTACCACAATAACGATATCTCACCATCTTCAATAAGAAAATAAAAAACACTACTTTTCAAGAACTTATTACCCAACTTATCTTACTGTTCGTATGTATTTCAAATAGGACTCCTTACAGTCAGTGTTAAGTCTCCTCTTACACATGATTATAGTGTTACGTCACCTCTTACACATGATTATAGTGTTACGTCACCTCTTACACATGATTACAGTGTTACATCACCTCTTACACATGATTATAGTGTTACGTCACCTACTACGCATGATTATAGTGTTACGTCCCCTCTTACACATGATTATAGTGTTACGTCCCCTCTTACACATGATTATAGTGTTACGTCACCTCTTACGCATGATTATAGTGTTACGTCACCTCTTACACATGATTATAGTGTTACGTCACCTACTACGCATGATTATAGTGTTACGTCACCTATTACACATGATTATAGTGTTACGTCCCCTCTTACACATGATTATAGTGTTACGTCCCCTCTTACACATGATTATAGTGTTACGTCACCTCTTACGCATGATTATAGTGTTACGTCACCTCTTACACATGATTATAGTGTAACGTCACCTCTTACACATGGTTATAGTGTTACGTCACCTCTTACACATGATTATAGTGTTACGTCATCTCTTACACATGATTATAGTGTTACGTCACCTCTTACACATGATTATGGGGCGGTCGGGTAGCCTAGTGGTTAAAGCGTTCGCTCGTCACGCTGAAGACCCGGGTTCGATTCCCGACATGGGTACATTGTGTGAAGCCCATTTCTGGTGTCCCCCGCCGTGATATTGCTGGAATATTGCTAAAAGCGGCGTAAAACAATACTCACTCACTCACTTACACATGATTATAGTGTTACGCCACCTCTTACACATGATTTAAGTGTTACGTCTCCTCTTACACATGATTATAGTGTTACGTCTCCTCTTACACATGATTATAGTGTTACGTCTCCTCTTACACATGATTATAGTGTTACGTCTCCTCTTACACATGATTATAGTGTTACGTCTCCTCTTACACATGATTATAGTGTTACAACACCTCTGACACATGATTATAGTGTTACGTCACCTCTTACATATGATTAAAGTGATTTCTCATGCCTCCATGTCAGAATGATGAGAGATCTGATTGGTTCACATGATCTTGATAAAATGCTATGTGTATCCCACCTTGGAGGGAAATAACTTTCTCAGCGGGAGAATAAATGCCTTATACCCCTCCACGAACAAAAGAGGCTGCACATGGATTTCTGAGAGGGAGAATAAATCCCTTATACCCCACCTCAAAGCACATGCTTTTTCCGAGTCAGCTGGAGTCATGTGACATAGCACAAGTTAACCTCAGTTCAATCGAACAGCTGTTTTCTATCAACTTTGACTTTGACTTTTTCAGTGTCATATTAAAACATGCTGGTCAGATAAATTTGTTATTGCAGTATCTCTCAGGGTACATGTGGTTTTATGCATCCCTCCGGCTAGTGGTATAAAACCTGGCGTGGGACGTGCTACAACTTATAATGTCACTTGTTACGTGGACAATTGCTGTTAACTGTTTAATTGACTTGTTTTATATGGAGTCTTCTTTGATTCACTAAATGTTTAACCTGGTGCTGATAACATAGAAGAACAATATTTCTATATCCTTTAGCCAACTGTATGGGAGGTGATCCAAAAGTTGGATTGTAGATGTCATTTCAAAGTCAAGATGTCAAATTCTCTCAGAGATGTGTCCTTTTGAGTCAGCGTGTCTCCAGTTGTGTCAGTGTGTGTCAAAATGTGTCCTATTGAGTCAGGATGACTCCAGTTGTGTCAGTGTGTGTCAAAATGTGTCCTATTGAGTCAGGATGACTCCAGTTGTGTCAGTGTGTGTCAAATTGTGTCCTTTTGAGTCAGGATGACTCCAGTTGTGTCAGCGTGTGTCAAAATGTGTCCTATTGAGTCAGGATGACTCCAGTTGTGTCAGTGTGTGTCAAAATGTGTCCTATTGAGTCAGGATGACTCCAGTTGTGTCAGTGTGTGTCAAATTGTGTCCTTTTGAGTCAGGATGACTCCAGTTGTGTCAGTGTGTGTCAAAATGTGTCCTATTGAGTCAGGATGACTCCAGTTGTGTCAGTGTGTGTCAAAATGTGTCCTATTGAGTCAGGATGACTCCAGTTGTGTCAGTGTGTGTCAAAATGTGTCCTTTTGAGTCAGCATGTCTCCAGTTGTGTCAGCGTGTGTCAAAATGTGTCCTATCCTATTGTGTCAGCAAGTGTCTGATTGTGTCAATTTCTCTCAGATTGTGTCAAAATGTGTCTTATCAAAATGTGTTATTGTGTCATCAAGTGTCAGATTATGTGAACATATGTCAGACTGTGTCAAATCGTGTGAAATACTGAGAGATATGCAGGATAAATGTGAGAAGTAAATCCCAGGATTAAGGAAGTTTGTTTGTGGCCAGGTCGGGGTCGTACCCGTCGGCTGAGAGTGGAGCTGGTGCATCAGGAGACAGCAGTCAGCACAAGAAGACGGGGTCCTTCGACTCCGCCTCCCCACCCCCATCCAAGCCGAGCAGACCCAAACCGCTGGCCAGAGAAAAGTAAGTGCAGGGTCACCCTGACTGATGCAAGAAGCCAAGTTAGTATGTGGTCATATATTATGTTGGACACAATAGAGTGTCACATTGTATTTTTGTGGGGTCCACAGCTAGCCCCATGATCTTAGGCATCAGACTTTGTTGTGCAGATTTGTGTCCCTTAGGCATGACAGAATCATTATCGTGGTTTGAATCCCAGGTTTGCCTTGATTATCATTTTTGGTTTGTCAGTACCAAGCAGGGTGCAGTTTTCAACAAATGAAGAAACAAACATCAAAGTAATTTATGCAATATGCGGGTGTAGGAGGGGTTGCTGAAAAGTTCTGAGCCTAACTGTGATGGCCTGCATTGATGGAGTTGGCTTTTAATTGTTTATCAACATGATCCTCTCCTAGACCCCCACACATCTGCCGCTGGTGTAGAAGGCTTCCTCCTGGGGGTGTAGAAAGTCCTCCACAGCAGACATATCACCATCATTTGCATAATGCTTGCCAGAGAGTTCTTTCTGTAAATTTGAGACAAGTGGTAGAGTGTCTGCCCGCAGCGTGGAGCATATTGGGGATTAAACAAGGACTGGTCGGTTTGGAGTCAGTATACTGTGTCCGAAGGGGGTATTCATGTTAAACTGCAGCATGGTATCTCCATGGGCTAGCACTATAAAATCGACATTAGTCCGGACTAGTACAAGCAACCACACACACGTGCAAGCAAGTCGCTATATAAGTGCAATAATTTTGAATGCTACGTTAAACCCCATTTCACTTCACCACCTTCTATAGATTAGGGAAGAGGTTAAGGTCATGCATTACAGACATGGTGACAACAGACTTGTGCATTGTCCTAGTGGAAGAACACACCTTCAGTGAGTTGTCCACGACATTTAGCCTATATCCATGTAGTTGCCTAAGCAGCTTAGCACTATATCAGCAATTAATGGTCTGAGCTTTTGGGAGGTAGTCCACCAGTAGGATTCTTTTGGATTCCCAGAATCACCTTGCCAGCTGACGGAACAGACTTTGCCTTCTTCATCGGAGAGGATGTTGGATGTTTCCACTGCTTTGTTGTTTAGTCTGGCTGATAAGAGGTGAACCCAAGACTCATCCGTGGTTACAAATCACTCAACAATATCATATGGGTCCTCTTCAAAACAAAGAAAAGTTTCATGAGAAAAGATGAAACTGGAGCGGGTCAGATCAGGAGTCAGAAGTCTTGGAACTCAGCATGCTGAAACCTTTGTATGCCCAGTCCATTCCTCCGAATATTCACAACTCTCTCATGAGAGATGCCTTCTGTATTGGCTATATGACCTGTGGTGAGTCGTCGATTAGCCATAGTCGTATGTATTTTATCAACGTTTTCCGTAGTGGTGGCAGTTGAAGGTCGTCTTGATCCTGAATCATCTTTACTGCTCTCTTCCTCTCTTACCCTTGAAGATCCGAGGTAGAATAGGCTTTCAGCAACCCAAGCTTGTCGTAAGAGGCGACTAACGGGATCGGTTGGTCAGGCTCACTGACATGGTTGATATCATGGTGTCATCTTATCCCAATTGAGTGGATCGATGCTCATGATATCAATCACTGGATTGTCTGGTCCAGGCTTCATTATCTACAGACCGCAGTCATATAGCTGTAATATTATTGAGTGCGGTGTTAAACAAGAAACAAACAAACAAACAAAATCTCTTCCTCATGTGAATGCTGCTGCCCTCATCTTGAACAGTGGCAAGGAAAGGAGCATCTTCCCCTAAGTTGACATCTTGTCAGCAAGGATGTCAGATGGTGTTAGTTAGCTCTTACGGTTGGAGATACATCATAAAATAACTACTGCTACTACTACTACTACTAATAGTAATAATAATAAGTGCATTCATAATGTGCCAGATTCCATTCATGCTCATAGCGTTACACCATTATTACCCCAGTCAATGGATCAGTGTGCACTCAATTTTCATTCTCAGCTCCCTGGGGAGTATACAACCCAAGCAGCCTGCACAAATATGCCACCTTGTTTTGTATCACATAAGCAATAATATACTTAATACATGCAAACTGTTAATGATGTACAATACATGTTTCAAAGTTATGCTCAAACCTTTTCAGCCACCTCTTGTACATAATGGAAAATACCCATGTGTTTGTTCCAATTTGCTGTTGTTGAGATGGCAGTTTGTTGTCCGTTCCAGACTCATGTCTAACGAGGACAATGCTTCCGGTTTTGGTGCTCATTTCTGGCCAAGGTGGTGAGATTGTAATTTGTGCGAAACAGAGTCATTGTCTCTGGTTTGAATGTTTTTGAAAAGAGTGCAGAATGTTTCATCCTTGTTGTAGGTACCGCTGCATCGTGCCGTACCCTCCCCAGACAGATCATGAACTGGACCTTCAGTGTGGTGACATTGTGTATGTGCACAAGAAACGCGAGGATGGCTGGTTTAAAGGAACTCTCTCTCGGAACAGCAAGACAGGATTGTTTCCAGGAAGCTTTGTAGAAAAGTGTGAATAGACACATCAAAAGTGGACAGTTTTATATTGAGAGATTTTTAATACAATATCTGTTAACAAACAGATTGCACATTTTAAAGCAGTGAGCTGTTGCTTTGACTTTGCTGCAGAAGAAGCTGTAGAGTTGATAGCCATATTCGACTAAGCTGCTTTTCTATTGGTTGCCAGTAGGTTGCCTTCTGTGACCAGTATTGTGATTGGGTGCAGTCTGTGTATACTGAGTTCTGAATGGCTGCATCCAGTTTGATGTTGTGGCCTTGCTTCAGACAGACTTTATTCATGATCATATCATCTCATCGGTATCACCGATCACATGACCTTTCTGCACTTAGGATAGCACTTGATTCGGGTTTCAACATTGCTTCTGACTTTTGTTTCAGAATGGATGGGGTGCTTCAACTGAGGAGGGATTTCAGTTCTGTAATGGTTGTTTATTGGCGATGATCAACTATGTTTAGAAGTAATCAAAATTATGTTATCAAAAACTGACTATAATCCATTTTCTAAACTGATCTTTTTTTTATTTATTATTTCATTATTATTATCGAGTTTTGTTCGAGATTTACCAGTATATCTATTTTCATATTTTTGTGAATCTGTTAATCAATGGTGTTTAGTTTCACTGACTTCTGTTAATTTAACTCCCTCATGCATATTTCTGGCTGATTCTTTGACATCAAAATCAGCACAAATCAATAATTCAGTGTTTGTTTGAAGATTCCTCCTACATTTATCAAGTGTCCGCAGATTAAGCAATCTCATTAAAATCAGATCCTAATTCTCACTATCGCTAAACAACGATCTGAGGACATCCCATTAAGGGTCACGTCAGAATGACCTTTCATCCAACCAATCAAAGCGTCGCTTACCAGATCATGAAAGTGACAGTCGGAATGTGTTTTGGATCATGCAACCTCAAAAACGTTAACACGGGGTATCCTGAACGACAGTAAGACTGATTCTGTCAAAATTATCGTCTATCTCTCACTTCCTAGGGATAAACATTTGAACGGAGGAGGCGTTGCACAGTACGTGGGTAGCACTGCCATACAATCTCAACCATATATTAGACATTCCAGAATGTTTGTTTGTTCAGTTTTCCAAATTTTAATCGAGAACTGTGTCAACATATTTTTCAAGCGTAGTCTGAAATGGAAGTCACCAGGTTGAAACGAGTGCCGCAAAGCTCGAGAAAGCTGGTTTCCAATTGGCTGATGTCGACGTCTTGTTAGTAATTTCAGTGGTCTGTCAAAGTTTGCGAAAGGTCGTTCTGACGTGTCCCGTAATGGGATGTCCTCAGATCTTTGTTTAGCGGCACAAGAACTTAAATCTGATTTTAATGAGATTGCAGATTCAGCAATCATTGATTTATTTGCCAGTTGTGTGTTGTAGGATCAAGTGGTATTCTGATATATCACCATTATGGGCAATAGTACTCACTGCGGACTGAACTCCGTGGGGAGTATACATAGCCACGAACTCTCTTAGTCTGCATGCAGCACATCGTCCCTCTTCCTCCTGAAGCCTCTGTGGTTTGGGTGTAATAATAAACACATACAAGATCAGAGTTCTGCACATGTTAGTCACTGAGATGTCAAATTCACCAGTGCTACAGAGTAACCCTTGTTTTGCAAATATGTCACTAATTTCTGTCTCTTTTATTCTGTGATGGTCAACAAAAAGGGAGGTTTACGTTTAACATTTGCCACTAGACACCCAGTCTATCTTGAATTTAGGGTGACTGGTCTTGATGACTGGAACTTGTCAAGTGGTCCACCATATTTGTAGAACCGTTAGTATTGTACCTAAGTACTCAGTTGCATGATAAGCCAGTGCTAGACCAAGCACTGGTGTTACCTGGAGGTCTGCCTTGTTTCAAGCCTGTGATGTGGCTGATCTGATATAGCAGAATAAAACAGTTGAAAGATTTATGCCAGCAAAGCTGCATTTACATTCACTCACTGACTGACTGCACCCAAATGATGCATTCTGACAGTCAGGATTTCATGTGTGGTACAAGGTTTTGTATAGTGATTCGGAACTGAAAATTTAGCATTTATGTGGAAAAGCATATTGTGTTAGATATGTTGTAGAACAACCTCATTATTATTACACCCGTACCACATTGTCCAACTGATGTTACTTACTCTCTTGAAGTGAAAGGCATTGTTCAACTGATGTTACCCTCTTGAAGTGAAAGGCATTGTTCAACTGATGTTACCCTCTTGAAGTGAAAGGCATTGTTCGACTGATCTTACTCTCTTGAAGTGAAAGGCATTGTTCAACTGATGTTACCCTCTTGAAGTGAAAGGGATTGTTCAACTGATGTTACTCTCTTGAAGTGAAAGGCATTGTTCGACTGATGTTACTCTCTTGAAGTGAAAGGCATTGTTCAACTGATGTTACCCTCTTGAAGTGAAAGGGATTGTTCAACTGATGTTACTCTCTTGAAGTGAAAGGCATTGTTCAACTGATGTTACTCTCTTGAAGTGAAAGGCATTGTTCAACTGATGTTACTCTCTTGAAGTGAAAGGCATTGTTCGACTGATCTTACTCTCTTGAAGTGAAAGGCATTGTTCGACTGATGTTACTCTCTTGAAGTGAAAGGCATTGTTCGACTGATGTTACTCTCTTGAAGTGAAAGGCATTGTTCGACTGATTTTACTCTCTTGAAGTGACTTGAAGTGAAAGGCATTGTTCAACTGATGTTACTCTTTTGAAGTGAAAGGCATTGTTCAACTGATCTTACTCTCTTGAAGTGAGAATCTTGAAAGACTGTTTGACTAAGGCAACACTGCCACTGTCAATATACATGTAACTCACTCATGGAAGTATTAACATAATACTTATTTATGCCCCACATTGTTTCATATGGCTCAGACTGGACCACCATCTTGGAGGGTTATTGTATTGTCGATTGCTGACATTGTTTGAGAAGGACTTACCCCCTTGCATGTCCAAGAGAAATCCTCACAGACTGAAATGTTCATGATGTTGATACTATGTTAAAGTTTGTTGTTAGAATTTGTGCAGTGAGATCTTAGGCTACGTCCATGTTTAGCAAGGCGTATATCCTGCAGTGAGATCTCAGGCTACATCCAGGTTTAGGAAATTGTATATCCTGCAGTGAGATTGTAAGTTACATACAGTTTAGCAAGGCGTATATCCTGCAGTGAGATCTTAGACTACATCCGTGTTTAGCAAATTGTATATCCTGCAGTGAGATCGTAAGTGACATCCGTGTTTAGCAAGGCATATTTCCTGCAGTGAGATCGTAAGTGACATCCGTGTTTAGCAAGGCGTATTTCCTGCAGTGAGATCTTAGGCTGCATCAGTGTTAATATGTCCTGCAGTGAGATCGTAAGTTAATTCAGTTTTTCGTATACCACGTTCCTGAAGTGAGATCGTAATTTACGTAAGTGTTAATATATCCTGCAGTGAGATCGTAAGTTGAATCAGTTTTTTGTATGGCATGTATCCTACAGTGAAATTGTAAGTTACATTAGTGTTATTATATCCTGCAGTGAGATTGTAAGTTACATAAGTGTTGTTATTTCCTGCAGTGGATAGTAAGTTACATCCGTGTTTAGTACGCCGTATTTCCTGCAGTGAGATCAACACCATGTCAGTGTATAGTACGCTGTGCGAGCAGTAGTGATGAGGGAGACTGACAGCCCGAAGGGACTACAGTAGTGCCAGTACTTGTGTTGAGAACCTCCAGTGCTCACATTGCAGTAATGCAGAAGAAATAATGCAGTTACGATTGTCATCATCGAGAGTTCATCACCTTTTTGTGTCAACCAAATATTTATAGCATACTTATAAAAAACAACAACTTGGTTTAAGGCCAGGGGGTAGGACCCTCAGATTGCTGTGTGCTTTACCTCCGTTTCTTCAATCGGGCGACTGTACAGATGGAGCATGTTGGACATGCACCATGCAATGTATAAAGGACAAGTGTTTCACATGTCGTACTATGTGGTGCTGCTTGACTGGTCTGACCTCATTTGTTGCTAAATCTAGTACTATTCTTTCACTCCTCACTGTTTCTGGTCTTCTTACAGTGGGCATGGAGCCTGCTCCAGAAAGCCATCCTCGTGCCGGAATGTACCAGTGTTAAACAATGGGAGTTGTTGCAGTGACCATAAGTCAGTGTTAAAGTATGGGAGTTATTGCAGTGACCATAAGTCCGTGTTAAAGTATGGGAGTTATTGCAGTGACCATAAGTCAGTGTTTAAGTATGGGAGTTATTGCAGTGACCATAAGTCAGTGTTAAACAATGGGAGTTATTGCAATGACCATAAGTCAGTGTTTAAGTATGGGAGTTATTGCAGTGACCATAAGTCATTGTTAAACTATGGGAGTTATTGCAGTGAACATAAGTACTATAGGCTGAAGATCTTAGAGCTATGGTTGTCCTAAACATAAAAAATGTGCCTGTATGTAGCCACCATTTCTAAGCCATGAGATTGTGTTTTATAGCTGTTTTGGCAAAAGCTGAAATACAGAAAAATGATACTGTCCCGATTGACTGTTGTTTCTTACTATGCATGCTGATGGGTGTTCCCATCATTCTGTCCCTCTTTCCTTGTCTACAACAGTCATGCATAGTTCTTCCCTCGTACCAGGGCGGTCGGGTAGCCTAGTGGTTAAAGCGTTCGCTCGTCACGCCGAAGACCCGGGTTCGATCCCGACATGGGTACAATGTGTGAAGCCCATTTCTGGTGTCCCCCGCCGTGATATTGCTGGAATATTGCTAAAAGCGGCGTAAAATCATACTCACTCACTCTTCCCTCGTACCCCTGTGTGGATCCCTTTCAGAAATGGCCTTCACATCAACCAGTGCTTGTTGTAAGAGGCAACTCTGTGGATCGGGTCATTTGTTTACTTGGTTGATTGCGTGACATCATACCCCCACGTGGATCCCTGCTCACAATATCAATCATTTGTTTGTCTGGTCCAGACACAATTATTTACAGGTCTTTGCATATAGCTGGAATATTGCTGAATGTGGCCTTAAAAACCAAACAGCATCCCTCATACCACATCACCTTGGCAACCCTCATTAGCACCTGTCTATATCATGCCTACTGATTTCCAACGACATCACCGTGGTAACCTTTACCACCGCCACTTCAGTCTCCTCCGTGATGTCTCACCATTGTCTGCCACCTGTGGTATAGCTGGACTTACATTGTATCTTTGTCAGTGTTTGCATTCTCTGTGTCACTCAGAAGACAATCAATAATTGCAATGTTGATAAAGGTTTGGAGTATATCGATTGATTGAATGATTGATAAAGATGACCTGCATAACGTCTTAACCAGGAAATGACACTACCACTGTTATACAGTAGATGCCTACTGATGCCCCATCTGCCCAAGTGGCACATGACACTGTTATACAGTAGATGCCTACTGATGTCCAATCTGTCCAAGTGGCACATAACGGTGTTATACAGTAGATGCCTACTGATGCCCCATCTGTCCAAGTGGCACATAACGCTGTTATACAGTAGATGCCTACTGATGCCCCATCTGCCCAAGTGGCACATGACACTGTTATACAGTAGATGCCTACTGATGTCCCATCTGCCCAAGTGGCACATAACGCTGTTATACAGTAGATGCCTACTGATGTCCCATCTGTCCAAGTGGCACATAACACTGTTATTCAGTAGATGCCTGCTGATGTCCCATATGTCCAAGTGGCACATACCCCGGTAACACTGTTATACAGTAGATGCCTACTGATGTCCCATCTGTCCAAGTGGCACATAACACTGTTATACAGTAGATGCCTACTGATGCCCCATCTGTCCAAGTGGCACATAACACTTATAAAGTACAGGCCTATTGATGCCCCATTTGTCCAAGTGGCACATAACACTGTTATACAGTAGATGCTTACTGATGCCCCATGTGTCCAAGTGGCACACAACACTGTTATACAGTAGATGCCTACTGATGCCCCATCTGTCCAAGTGGCACATAACACTGTTTTACAGTACATGCCTACTGATGTCCCATCTGTCCAAGTGGCACATAACACTGTTATACAGTAGATGCCTACTGATGTCCCATCTGTCCAAGTGGCACTTAACACTGTTATACAGTACATGCCTACTGATGTCCCATCTGTCCAAGTGGCACATAAAACTGTTATACAGTAGATGCCTACTGATGCCCCATCTATCAAAGTGGCACATAAGGCTGTTATACAGTACATGCCTACTGATGTCCCATCTGTCCAAGTGGCACATAACACTGTTATACAGTAAATGCCTACTGATGCCCCATCTGTCCAAGTGGCACATAACACTGTTATACATTAGATGCCTACTGATGCCCCATCTGTCCAAGTGGCACATAACACTGTTATACAGTACATGCCTACTGATGTCCCATCTGTCCAAGTGGCACATAACACTGTTATACAGTAGATGCCTACTGATGTCCCATCTGTCCAAGTGGCACATAACACTGTTATACAGTAGATGCCTACTGATGCCCCATCTGTCCAAGTGGCACATAACACTGTTATACAGTACATGTCTACTGATGTCCCATCTGTCCAAGTGGCACATAACACTGTTATACAGTAGATGCTTACTGATGTCCCATCTGTCCAAGTGGCACATAACACTGTTATACAGTAGATGCCTACTGATGCCCCATGTGTCCAAGTGGCACATAACACTGTTATACAGTAAATGCCTACTGATGCCCCTTCTGTCCAAGTGGCACATAACACTGTTATACAGTAGATGCCTACTGATGTCCCATATGTCCAAGTGGCACATAACACTGTTAGTAGATGCCTACTAATGTCCCATCTGGGTAAGTCAAAGGAAAACTTTTTGAAAATATGAAAGCATAATTGACATGTAGTTTAATGTTCATGACAAAAATAGCATTTTTTTCACAATTGAATTAATTCATTTGTTAACAATGTTTGAAATAATCAGACCATTTGTTCAGGGTGATATCCAAGAATCTGAACTAGTCATTTAATGGTTTGAACATGGTAAACACTGTCCACACCCGAGCATTTCTGCACATGGTGTGACTGGAGGCTTACAGTTCCACAGTAGTGATGGTATGCACCATTTCATGCTCTTGTGTACTATGGATATGAGAAACATCAAATGGGGCAGTTTGGTAGCACAGTGGTTGAGGTGTTTGCTTGTCATGCTGTAGATGGAGGTTCAGTTCCCTATTTGGGCTCAGTCTTGCTGTGATATCGCTGGAATATTGCCTGAAAGCGGCATTAACCTTAACTCACTCCTGGGCCCACTTGCACAAAGCGATCTTAGCGCTAAGATGATCTTAACTCCCATACTTTAACATAGGCTTACAATAGTCTTAGCGCTAAGATCGTTTTGTGCAAGTGGGCCCTGTTCTGTAAGAAGGGGACTGAAATGTGGAGATGTATTAACATCGGGACTTTTCTGTGGTAGTAGTCCAAGTTCCCCTTTTATGTTTATCTGTACTGTAAGGGGCAAGTTTGGTCGGTCTGGGTTAGTGCTGGTATATCTGTACTATGAGGGGCATTGTGGTCAGTCTGGGTTAGGGCTGGTATCATAACGGGATCTGCTTCGCAAAATGAGTTTTAGAACTATGTTGAAGCCATAATGTGGAACCGATCCCAGGTAACAAAGATTGTATACTTGCAATGGTATTAACATTAAGTCTGTGAAACAAGTAGAAACAATTAAGTGCCTATGAACCATTTATTTATGTTATTTCACATAAGTTATGGTGCTTTACAGATAACAAGATAATCTATAGTTTCTGTAAAATGTCATTGCTGGACCAATGGCGTATTGATGCGATTGTGTTAGTGCCGATATATCATGTAGTAGATTTAGAACAGAACACTTGTTTGGACTATGGTGTCATTGGATAATTCTCTGTACAATAATCTAACACATTGGAGACAGGTTTGTTCCCCAGAGGTGAGGACATGTATTGACATGATACCAGCTCTAAAATATGCAATGTTGAAGGGCTCAATTTTGTTTGAGAATAAGTCCAGATTTCTTATTTATGAAGTTGATATCTGTATGTTCTGTGAAGTAAGTTCCCATTGCAATGTAGTTGAAAACAATCAACTTCTGTATGATTAATAAAATGCAAATTAAGAATGTAAAACTAGGTCTTCAGTTTTCTTTGATATCAGTTTTCTGTTCATTTTGTCCTGGTATGGAGATACCTGCTGGATTATGAAAATCTAATGCAAATGACATCAAATCCCTCTGCAGGTGGATATATAGCACTCAAACATGCAAAGAGACATTCCTTACGTTGATGAGCATGACCGATACCATCTTCAGGAGGCAAGCATATCAAAGCTAACAAAGCTAGCATCTTACGGAGGGAAACGTGTCCACTAGCCTTTATCAAAGCTAGCATCTTACGGAGGCAAACGTGTTCACGAGCCTATATCAAAACTAACATCTTATGGAGGCAAACGTATTCACGAGCCTATATCAAAGCTAACAAAGCTAGCATCTTACGGAGGCAAACGTGTTCACGAGCCTATGTCAAAACTAACATCTTATGGAGGTAAACGTTCACGAGCCTATATCAAAGCTAGCATCTTACGGAGGCAAACGTGTTCACGAGCCTATGTCAAAACTAGCATCTTATGGAGGCAAACGTATTCACGAGCCTATATCAAAGCTAGCATCTTACGGAGGCAAACGTGTTCACGAGCCTATGTCAAAACTAGCATCTTATGGAGGCAAACGTATTCACGAGCCTATATCAAAGCTAGCATCTTACGGAGGCAAACGTGTTCACGAGCCTATGTCAAAACTAGCATCTTACGGAGGCAAACGTGTTCACGAGCCTATGTCAAAACTAGCATCTTACGGAGGCAAACGTGTTCACGAGCCTATGTCAAAACTAGCATCTTATGGAGGCAAACGTTCACGAGCCTATATCAAAGCTAGCATCTTATGGAGGCAAACGTTCACGAGCCTATATCAAAGCTAGCATCTTACGGAGGCAAACGTGTTCACGAGCCTATGTCAAAACTAGCATCTTATGGAGGCAAACGTATTCACGAGCCAATATCAAAGCTAGCATCTTACGGAGGCAAACGTGTTCACGAGCCTATGTCAAAACTAGCATCTTATGGAGGCAAACGTATTCACGAGCCTATATCAAAGCTAGCATCTTACGGAGGCAAACGTGTTCACGAGCCTATGTCAAAACTAACATCTTATGGAGGCAAACGTTCACGAGCCCATGTCAAGGCCTAGTTTCTACCCACCCTTGCCACACCAAGGACAACTTTTCTTGGCTCGACCCTGGCGCCACCTTGCGTAGCTGTGCTCCCAGCAATGAAAACGCAATATCCAATCAGATCGCTGTCCCTGTCTCATATTGCTTCACAATGATTGCGACTACCATAGGCAACGACTTAGTCGATAAGATAACGAAAACATTTGCGACTTCATTCCTGACACAACATAGGCAGTCGTTGGGTTTAAACGATGAAAAAGACATATTCATGTCAACAAAGACAGGCAGGGGTAATTCACTTCCATATGAAGGTGTACCATATGTGGATGTTGATATTGTGAAACGTCCTCTGATTGGACTATCGATATGTTCGATAGTCCAGTCATATTTAGCACAGGAAAGTGGGCTTGGTGTGGCAAGGGTGGAAACAGGACTTTGACAAAAAGGCTTGTGGACGCTCTTGCCTCGGGAAGATGGAACGACACAGACACAGACACAGACATTTCTACATTAAGTTTTCGGAATAGACTCAACTTGGATTTTATTTTGGAATAATAATGATAAATGCACATTTGAATACCCTACCTCTATTACATCATAGCCAAAAAATCCTGTTTATGCTGAGGAACACTATATTTTATTATAAATTTATACAGAAGTCCTCTTCATTGCCAGCATATATAATAGTTGTGAGGGAAACCCTGACCTTCGCAGGAAACGCAACTACGCATGCGCTAGGCGGGAAAACATCACTTCTTTCCTGTGTGTCCACATGTCAAGGAACATTTTTTATTCGATACACATCTGAACACGTGATTGCTGTTCCACAATATATACGTAACACTAGATCATCACCTCAACTAGACAAGCAGTGAACAGTTCCACAGCAGAGAACGGGGGTATAAGAAGTCAGAAGTCTCTAGTAAGAAATTAGTTTAGAGACCTTCTGGAGAATGATGACTTCATCTAAAAAACGAACCCCTGTCTGTTCAGGATGTGGGAAACTTCAGATCTTTGTACAAACTTTCAAATGCGTGGCATTCTGACTATCACAAGAACACTGGGGCGTCATCATGAATGTCGTCATCTACCTCTTGGAAAAAGGGGGAAGTGATTCAATCTGTTGTTACATCCATCAATGAGAATCACTCGGGTGACAAGCGGGTATCGCGTGAGTGCGCCGTCTCCGCTTCTAAGGGAAGACCTCGCTGCTCATCCCACTCTCCCGATGTAGTGAAGGAGCCGATGTACCTTTCTGATTTTAACGTAACCATTCACTGACTTCCGGGAACGTCTGGTAAGGAGGACCATCTAGGCTTGGAGGAAACAACTGATCTCCATCCTATGCCACGTTTCCACATTAACTTTAATGAGTTCACGGAAAACATTACAACATCTATGTCACATGAGATCCAAAAGAATCAGTTGCACAAAACGAGCGGAACGTGCTGGATATGAGGAACCCATACAAGGGTCTGAAGAATTCCATACCCCAGCGAGGGGGCACGGGTGGCCCAGTCGTCTAAGGCGCCGCGATTTGCTGTGCAGAGTTGCGTCCCTTAGGCACGCCAGAAACCAATGATTGTGGGTTCGAATCCCGGTTCGCCCCGATTATGTTTCTAGGTTTGTCAGCACCATACCCGTGCTCGTGGGTTTCACCAAAGTGGTAAACGTCTGAGACCTGCATCACCTGTGGCTTTCCTCCCACATTAAGCTGACACGCCGTGATATGACTGGAATACTGCTAAAAGCGACGTTAAACCCAACTCACTCACTCCCATACCCCAGCGCAGCTTGGGTAGGGATGTGAACTAAATAATGACTCCATTAATGACATTGCAGAACTTTACAATTTGAGACCGGCTTTAGGACCAGCCAATAAGGAGGAGCTACGTGCCAAATATTTGATAGAGCGTGCTGGATATAAGGAAACCATAAAAAGGTCTGAAGCATTCCACATCCTTCTTTGCCACACATCGACGACGCCATCAAGAGGATTGAAGCATCTCGGAATTCTTCATCGGCACATGACATACTTCGTATGCTTGCCTTTAATGAGAATGCGTACAAGACACATACTGCTCCTTTCGTATTACAACCTAAGATTGGTGATGACTTTTTTGATCTAGTTAAAACACTAGGATGCACGTTGACATGGCTCGACAACGTCAACAAACAAATGTTAAACTTCAGTTCTTTTATAAGCTGCGACTGGTATTTGTCACGTCATTCCACTTACCAACAAGAGCGAAGGTCTCCCCCCAGATACCTGTAACGGGTTGGGGGCGGGGGACGTGGTCATCAGGATGTGTGATGTCCCATCCTAACCGTCAGTTTCAAAGAGATATTGTAAAAAAGACGGATTTCAAAGAAAGCTATACTCTTCAAAAAAAGAAACTTGACATAGATGTAAAACCACTTTTTGCCAAATATCTAAAATAATTACATTAAATGAGAACCAAATAAGTCAAACAGAAAGATGATGTGTCTATAATTCGCGAAAACACATGCAAAGCACATAAACGTAGCGTTTGGTGATCAATTTTACAGCTTCAACCAAACGCAACCGCCTGTAAAAAAACGTGCAGCACAGGATCCTGCATTTAGGCATGCAGGCCCCCCTGCTGAATGGGTATAAAAATCCACATCAAAGGCTATTCATACAGTCCTTATAACGGCAATAGAGGCGGTGACAGAATGCAAAGGCTGAATGCAGCTCAACGGAACAACGCCATTGGGAGATTACAAGCTGGAGCAACTCAGCAAGAAGCGGCCAGGCACATAGGCATATCCAGACAGACGATCTCCGCATTGTGGACCCGATACAACAACACCAAAAGAGTTGACGACAGACCAAGGTCAGGAAGACCAAGGGTGACAACCCATGCACAAGATCGATACATCCGGCTGCGACACCCCCGAGACCGCACTACCACAGCCACGTCTACAACCACACAGATCCCTGGGGTACGCAGAATAACAGATCAAACGGTACGCAACAGACTGAGAGAGGCTGAACTTGTTGCACGAAGACCTGTTCGACGTCATGTATTGACCCCACGTCATCCGGCGGACCGTCTGCTTTGATGCCAACAGAGGATTAGATGGGCACGTGCAAGGTGGAGAAATGGACTGTTTACTGAGTCCCGTTTCCTACTCACACGTGCTGATGGGCGCACACGTGTCTACAGGCGTCAGGGTGAACGTTACGCCCCCAACTGTGTGAGCAGGTTGTCCCATTTGGCGGCGGGAGTGTCATGGTATGGGCCGGAATTCATCGCGGTGGTAGGACGCCTCTTGTGCATGTGGCAGGTACATTGACAGGTGTGCGTTACAGAGACTTGATCCTACAGCCTGACGTTCTTCCTCACGTCAACTTTCATGGCGGACAGTTCCAGCAGGACAACGCTCGACCGCATATTGCACGTGTTTGTCAGGTTTTGCCAGTCCGGTCACCAGATTTGTCCCCGATTGAGCATCTGTGGGACGAGTTGGATCGACGCGTTCGCAGAAGGAATCCTCCGCCCCAAACACTTCCGGCGCTCCTTGATGCACTTCAGCATGAATGGCAGCACATCCAACAGCGTGTTATTGACAACTTGATTGCATCTATGGGTCGTCGGTGTCAGGCGGTGATTGATGCACGTGGTGGGCACAACCGATACTGACATTTTCTGTACCCCTGTGACATTAACTGTATCGTGTACGTGTGTCTGTCTAGGTGACACGATTAATGTTTTGAACATTGTGTACATTGACCTTCAAACAGTGTTTCAATTATGGTTTCTGTGTCCTATTTTGAAACAATCGCATTATATTACATTTTGAAAGTCAGTGTCAAGGTTCTTTTTTTGAAGAGTATATATGAAATAATAAAAGTCAATTGAGATCTTTACTTGTTG